GCTACTAGGAACAGGTGCATCGCTAGTAGTAACAAGTGCCTTACTAGTAGTAGCAAGAAGCTACTAGGAACTAAGTGCCACGCTACTAGGAGCAAGTGCCTTACCAAGCAAAAATAGCGAGGGGCGCATCGCTACGAACGGAGCGATCGGACCCCCTTCGAGGACCATGTTCCGAATACCAAGCCATAGTTGTTTTCCGCATCCATGAGTTTTCCAGGGAGTACTGTAGCAACAATGATATATATACATACATATATTATATTAATTAATAGTCTAGGGACCACTCCTGAGCACGCTAAAAAGGGTGGTGCGGCAACATAACTTGGTAGAGCAAAGCATGAAACCCCTGCATGAACACCCTGCACACGACACAACTTGGCCGTTGGTGCGTTTGGTGGAAACAGCATTGACACGCATTCTGTTGAAGAATGACCGTGCTCCCAAAGCACGACAAAGACAGGAAATGGTTGATTGTCATCAAAAGTGTGGTGACCGACACTGGGAACGCATCCCACCCAAAAAGGTGCTTGGCCACAGGTCCCAAACACCGCCACAAGAATTTGAAAGCAAAAAGGATTGTTTACTCTTCTTATGCACTTTGGAATTTGGAGTTTGGCAAATTCCCCATCCTCCCTCCCACAGTTCCACCCCACGGTTCCGTCGCGTGCGCCTCCTGCAGCAACATCCTCTGAGTGTATTGACGAGGCAGCTGCCTGGTCGGCGACCGGTGGAGACACGGAGAGCCCTGGTAGACCGTGTCGCGGGGTCAAAGGGACGTCAAGAACAGTCATCCTCAAAGGGTCAAGGGCCTCAGGGAAAGACACGATGCATTTGAAACGGCTTTTTGTCATGATACACTGCAATCACCTGAGATTGTCTAAAGACTCCTCTACCTTTCCCTATCATGCAGCTATATCTTTTTCGTTTCAGTGCTATTACCAGCGGCAACATGTGTAGTATACATTTGTGATCATTTGTGTGCACTCCATGCACGTATTGTGGGGAACCGGCAAACATGATGCCCTAAGTACGGATCAGTTCGTGGCAGTTCATTCCATACTAGCACAGCTAGTAGATGCTAGTAGCATCTAGTAGCCGAGTTAGCCAAGCACAGCGTTCAAGGCGAGGTTGAAAGTCTTATCGCCCATGGGAATCACATGTCTGGGCTACCAATTAAAGGATATTCAGATATTTTTAAATTAAGGGTGTTTTAGGCTCACTACGTGATGCTTTTTGTTATGGTGCTGTTCTTCTTTTGGCCATTCAATCTAGAAACGGACCCGCCAGGGCGCGTCTGCTTGACCTGTTCAGAACCGCCGCAGTGCCTGACCATCACGGTCACCACGCCGTCCTCTCGAAAGGCTTGGACCCTACGCTTTCGATTTGGTGACCGTGGCTACGCCACCGGTGCATCCGTTCCAAACCCGATTTCCCTCGGTGAAGGAACGTCTCGTGAAATCGCCCGCGACCTGACCTCGCCGCTCGCCGCTTTTCTCATCGCGCCCCAACGGAACGCTTTTCACTGCGCGCGAAAGCTTTCGCTCCTCCCATGACCACGGGTCTGATGCCTTCCTCGGGCGGGTCAGCGAGTCAAAGGGTGTCGTCCGGACGACATCGGTGCTGTTCTTGGACGAGCACATCCCCAGGCCATAGTAGAGCGATTCTTAGTCAGGCTGATTGAGTGTCAGTAGTGATGAGGATGTTCAAGGCTTACGACTTACGACTTACGAATGTAAGCCTTCTTAAGTAGATTCTTCAGCAAACAGTAGCAACTGAGAGCTGTTCAGGCTTAGTACTTAACAGTTCTCAATGTCAAGTATGAGTTCGAGAAGATGTGAGAACCTTTGACTTCCGAATTCTGCTCGATTCAATGGTCAGAAAAGAACTTTTGCAAGCTTGAAAAATAGTAAGCAATCAGCAATCACAGGGCCAACAAAAAGGTGGTTTGGAGTTTACCGAGTGCTATTTGTCAGAGACTCTTCAAATAACATACTTTTTGAATTGTGGTTCTAATAGAGTAATAACACACTCTATACATCTCTATACTCTGTCAAGTATGTCCCTGGGCTATCGTCTACAAACGGGTCTTCAGTGCAACGGAGCCTGCTATTGGAACCCTATGGCCTGCCGAGTACTGCCGTTCGCCCCCCCGGTTTCACGTCGTCCACCCGTTTTCAGGGGCCCACCTTGCCCTGTGACATATGGAACTCATACGTTTTTTTTGTGGTTTCCTCTACTTTGATATTCCAAAGAGGACGCTACGAACGGGGCTCCTGGCATCGCTACGAACGGAGCGATCGGACGCTATGAACGGGGCTCCTGGCCGTACTACTAGTAACAAGAAGCTACTAGGAGCTTTTTCGCGCGCGCAGGATATGGAATCGTTGGTGATCTTTGGTTGGACTATATAAATGCATCATGCATCATGATAATTTATTTGGGTGAGTGCAACAGCGAAACATATAACCCAATAATACCCAATAGATTATGATATTATATAACAATGTCTGTCCCGAAAAAAAAAAAAAAAAGTGTGCCATCTACTCAGATCAACCACTGGCGATGGACCCGGAAGCACCCTCGATGGGTCTCCGCGGCGCTGGAAAACTCCTCCAGTAGATCCTGTAGATCCATTGTCATTGTGTGGTCAATCTGATGCATAGTTGAAGGACACGATATAGAATCAAGTTATAGAGGTCTTAAGTCTTAAGTCATGATATCTCATGATCATGGACCCCATCTGGTCATGTAGCTGGGAGCTCCATGATACCATCTAAAGGATTCATTTCAGGTTCGGGCGTCCACCAATCTGAACCAGTCAGCCGTGCACTAATAGGAGAAAAGAACACGGCTGTGATGTTTTTCATTATACATTATCTAATCCTATTTATGTGGTGGCAATGTTTATACCTAAGATGTCACGAAAAACAGTTCCACTGGTCAGAAATGCTGGAAGTCTAGACTATACCCTCCGCACGTTCCCTGCCAGCAGCAAGTTCCGACCAAGGCACTTCCGAGCGAGCTGCGCCTGCGAAGACCAACAGGGGGGATACTGGGGGCCATGCAAATGCGCCAGCCAGATTTTTAGAAGAAATCCAAATGAATCGCCATATCATGCAACTGTGGTGAACCCTCAATTACTGAGGATTCATTGAATGTAACTGGGTGGTCTTTTGACGAATCACCCTTAATTACTGTCGTTCTTCACCCTGCGGAGGTCATCTTCGCCTGATCTCCACTGCTGGCTCCACTGCCGGCGTCCTAGCAGCGCATTGGACTTGCACTGAGCAACGTTGGACGCCGTTGAAAAGTCTTTAGAAGTCAAGACTCAACATTCTAATTTATACTCCTGCCATTGGCACTAATGAAGAATCAGGACCCTCTCACAGACATGAACTGCTGAAGCCTGCTGGCTTTTGGCCCAAACAGGGTGTACTTGGAGTCATGAAAGAAGTCGTCACCCCGTACCAACCGCACATACTTGTGCTCCACCCTGCATTATCCCTATAGTTGTTCTGGTGTTGAATGTCTTTCAAACGGTGGACCAGACCTGACATGCATAGCAGGTCAAACAGTACTGACCCACCACCCCAAGAAACCCCGTCTTCATCTCCAACATCATCCATTTCTAGACCAACAAAATTCAATCCTTAAAGTAAAGCCACCAGCGTTTAACTGTGACAGCCTGGCAGCTCAAATGAGACCCACATTGACCCCTTGGCTAGACGATCGTGGTCAAGCAAACCAGCGGTATAGTGGTGATTTCCTCTAGAAATTCAAAAAATATGTTCACAAGATTTCACGTGAGCTTAATCGCTTGGGTCCAACTTGAATCCAATAGCTTCCAACAGCTCCGGGAACTCAGCCTAATCTTCCCCAGCATCATTGAGTTTCGCTTGACTAAAGGATGGATGATAAACGGTGATGACCAAAGATGACCAAAGATGACCAAAGGAACGTTGGCTTTGGACATCTTTGGACCAATATGGACCAAATGTACGGCAGTAGTACGGCCTACGTCTTTCGCACAATTTCGTGGCCTTGGTGAAACATAGTGAAACCAAACTCTCCCCTGACACTCGCGCCACACCTGAGGCCCATCAGGCTTTCGCACCACCAGCTTCTTCTTTGCCAAATGAGGTCTCAGTGGGTACTTTGCACTGCGGTCGGCTTGATAGTGAGGCACCTTGCTCTTTGCTACTAGTAGCTTCTTGATCCTAGTAGTAGTAAGGCCTCCAACCTACTAGCGATGGCCTCCAACCTAGTAGCAACCAAGACCCAGATAAGAAAGACTCCCAATTCGAGTGTCCTCTTGGTCTTCAATGCTTGACTTTGCAGTCCCAGAAGCCCAAAAGGACCCAAGTTAGGTCAAGTCCACAAGCCAAATAGCTGTAACAAAGATCTGGCACTGAAAAACAAAGCAACATCGCAAAAAGGATGCAACAAAGACATGGAAAACATTGGAAAACCACATTGACATGTCCATCAATGGTGAGTTGCGAAACCCTCAGCATCCCTCAGCACTCAGCAGAACAGAACACCCATAAATCCCGTCAACTGTTTTTTCTTTGGGGTATAAGTATAAGGATTATATAAAGGAATATGAGTCTACTCCAGCTGTCTACCCATCCATCTGAATCCATTTTCAACATTTTTCAACCACCTTAAAACCCGCAAGGACCCCCAACTTACGCCTAAATTGCAGCTCCTCAATGACCCATTTGTATCCACTTGTTGCAAAAGCAGCTTGAAATCCAAAGTTCTCAGCACGGATTCACAGTCATTTGTCCGCATTCATGACTTGGGGACTAATGTTGGACGCTGATTAGTAATAGGGCCTTCTATAATGCTAAATTTTAGAAAAGTCATTCTTGACACCCTGTTTGTTTTAAGGGTCCTCTATTATGCTAATGTTTTGGGGGATCCTAATTCTTTATCTGAAAAACATATTTAGGGTTAAGTATATGATTCAACACATATAAATATATTTTTTGATAATACTAAGCCAATGGTTGGCTTGCTGAGAGTACTTATAAGTATAGGTTTCTCTAGTTATTCTTCAAAACTCACAGCTTCACAAAACAATCAATTCCCTAATCAATCCTTCATGAAAAGATTGCGCCTAAACAAATTTTCAAGGAAGTAGACCAGGAAGGCCCGTGATCCTCAATAATTAATTTGTTTTAATGGTCCTCAATTGTGCAAAGTTTTTCCTGAAGAAACATAGAAAAAGAAAATTCTTAATACTACTAAGCCAATGGTTGGCTTGCTGAGAGTGTTGATAAGTATGGGTTTCTCAAGTTCTTCTTCAAAACTCACAGCTTCCCAAAGCCGTCAATTCCTTAATCAGTCCTTTATGTAGTAGTATGAAAGGATTGCAAAAAATACCTAATGACAAATAATTTTAGAAAGGAAAATGAATACTACAATCAATTAATTACAAAAAGGAATCCTCACAGGAACCCAGATTTGTTTTGGTGGCAGTTTATTATAGAGGATCTCAGGGGGACGGGACCCCCTTTACTCATCAAATCGGTCCCATCCCTCCACCCAATTCCGAGCAGCTTCGAGGATTCTCGAAATCCCCAGCCGCAGCCGGCCTTTTCCCAACGGACTGGTGACCCGACCAAACACCCGCATTCTTCCCCCGACAGACCGCTTCTCTTCCGCATCGAAGGCACTCAGGAGTGGAGCCGGTGTCGGCCGAGGCCGTCGGATCTCGGCGGGTGAGGAGGGTGGACCCAAACTGTTGCGGGAGGTTTGGTCGGTCGGACCTACACCCCTTTTTGAAGCCTTTTTCCGTGGGGTTGAGCAGAATTCACATCTGTTTGTTGGAGTTCATTGTTGGAATCCACAAAAAACGGATGAGGCGTACAATTGATTGAACATGTTTGAACCACCAAGGGATGATCTGATACTTTTTGTTAACCATTCTTCTGGAAGCACTTCAATCGGTTTGGTGGGTAAATGACATGACAAAGTAGAACACATGTGAGGTCAATCGAAGGATGCTCGTTGTTGGTGTCCTTCGCCACTTTTGTATTGACAGAATGCCATGAGAGGAATTGGATGGTGGTAGAAGATATTACACTAGGAAGAGCAAGAAGCGACTAGGGGCTCCTGGCCTTACTACTAGTAACAAGAAGCTACTAGGGGCTCCTGGCCTTACTACTAGGAGCAAGGACGCTACTAGGGGCTCCTGGCATCGCTGAAGACTGTCTGTCAGGCTGTCGCTTGCCAGGGACTCGCTGCCCGGCTGGAATCCCTGAGATAAGATGGTGCTCGACATCGGGCGAACAATCCGTCCCCCAATCTGTACGGCCACTCCTTGGGGCGAAACGATGGCTATTGGATTCGTTTCGCTGCAGGACTCCCATGTGACCGGCCCTTCGACGACGCGGACGACGCGGAAGCCTGTCACCTGCGGCCCCCGACTAAACTTCTTTGACTTCGGAGCACACCTTGATAGGAACAGAGAAGGATGGGTTGCTAAAAGCTTCGTGGTTCGCTGGTGTTCTAATCTTGGCCAGAAACTCGAAGAGTTGTTTGATGCTTGCGCCCTCGTATGTTTGAGTCACCAGTGATGGCAAGGAGTGCATGGGTCTCTCCTTTTGGACGAGTCCACTGGTCAAAACGAAGATGGCCATCTCAGCGCGTTGTTTCTCATGTCCGATCCACCATCCACGTCGGCCACGCCGTGTCTCGAAAATCACAAAACCCCTCCAATACCAAAGAAAAAACAACACCCACCAGTCAATCAAGCATTTTGCCAGGAATCGTTGGGGGGCTGTGGGAAGCTCTGGGTGGAGGCTGAGTGGTGGTCGAAGGTACAAACATACATACATATTGCATTACATTACATCATATACATTACATTAACAATTACAATTGCAATTGCATTGCATTACATTACATTACATATGTATATTAAACATTGCGTATATTAATATGTTATATGTTATATGTTATATATAGTGTTATATAGTATTATAAAAACACATTACCGTCATTAGAAGCATGCACGTGGACAAACGGTACCAAGAGAATATAGTAAAGTTATAGTCGCTCACTTGAAGGGGTGATGATAGGTGATCATTGGGACCACCCCAAGTACACAAATACAGTACCTCTAATACCCAAACTATAGGTGGTCCAAAAGTTCAGGCACCTGATACAACTCTTCCAAAACGGGTCGATATCCCTCATCATCCCAACATACCTTGGAACCTACTATATAACCTCTTGAAGCTGAGTCCTCAAATGATTCGGATATAACCCCAATCGGCACGAATTGCTCAGGTCGGTGCGTTTGCATTCCCTCCAAGGTGGCAGCCCTCAGTCTAAGCACATCAGGTCGCAAAGATCAGCGGAAAGGGGGTGGTCCTAGTAGACATCATGGAAGCGGAGATCCCAGGCAACGACCCCTGGAAGAAGGGAAATAATCGTGGGTTGCTTTGCATTATGAACATCCAAGGTTGCAGAATCCATGAATGTTTGCGGTTACATCCATTTGAACCAAACTTTGTAGACTCAATGACTACTATCCATCCATTGTCCAATCCTATCTAAATTCAATGACGATGGCATCACCAACCCGTACAGGCCCGATACAGTATAAGAGTATATGTTTTCCAACATATTCCAAGAATACCTATCTCAGTTCAATTGGACACTAAACACAACTGGAATGATTTGAAATTGGTTCTCTGTTTGCATTGACATTCTGAATGCAAATTCCAAAGCCATTCGCCGTGAGATGCCGTGAGCTTACATCGTCACTAGCTGTCCTGTCACACAGATGTGCCTAGTAGCAAGGGCATTCCACATCAACCTTTTGACCGACATCTTATTCATGAAGTTTTAAAGAAGTCGAGCACAATGACACCCTGTGCCCAATTTCTGTTGGACATTTCCTGTGCACTTCGGTTTTTTGCAGTTAACGTGCAATGGTCACATGATACAGAAGATAAGTGCCCACTATGCCAGGAACTCGACACGAAAGCTTGAGTGCCCGGTTTTCTCCCATATGGCCCATATTTCCACTCCCGGAAGCGAACGCTCTGTTGAGTCGTGACCACAACCGTCTCTATTATCCTCTACCTGCCGAAGATATATAGATACACATGTGGTCAAAAACAACTCAGACCCTGCGTGGCTGTACCTTGCTTTACACTGATGAGTCGATGAGCCATTCACGGGACAAATACAATCAAATACCTATGTAGTGACCCCACTCTATATCACAGTCGTCTGGCTGGGCGGTGGTTCAACACACTTATTTGTCGTCTGACCCATCCACTGCAGATTTTCGAGTGGTTGCCACTACAATACAACCACTGAAGGCCTACAGACCATTGATAGAGCCAAGCTTCAGGCAGTGGTATAGATTTTCACAACTATGTCCTTTGCTTCCCATCGAAAATGGTCAACATGTGGTGGACATCATATCTCAGTACTGCATTTACCGTGAGACGGCACATTGGGATTTGGTCCACAAACTCATTCGCAACCTCAACGAAAATTCAAAGTAAAGTCACAACGTCAGAAAGAAGACACTATATAATTCTTTTTTTATGACTTGACTACCATTTTAGGCAGCGAGTGCGCCGATCTGGCAGCAGGAGTTGCACGCGCCTACCATGTCCCTCCCTTCATAAGAAAGATTTAAGGACATACACGTACAACGGACCCAGCAGCAAAGAGACATTACCTTCTTGTGCCAATATTTGCATGATCTGAATCGCGCTCGAGAGAGAGCAAGCTATGACTGACATTCATCAGTCTTTACTTTTGAACAAACCGACCGAATCTGAGGGCAACAAACATAGATCTTGAGGACCCATATGCTAATTTTAGTTGTCCTTGCCAGATCCGATACCGGACCTTCTACCATCACAAGAGGGGTGACACGAATGGCCACACCAAGTCCCTATACTGCCCATGACCCCGCGTATTACTTGGTGTGAACTTATTTTCTCATATATTCTCATATGATCTCATATGTCGCCTGTTTCGGACAATGAAGGATCCTGCAACGCAAGCTGAATACCTTTCTGAGTCGGCACAGCTTTTGGCGGCAAGAAGATCCTTGATGAAGCAGGCAGATTTTGTTCGGCATGTTGCTACCTCATGTAAGCTTCATCAACAAGTAGCACAGACAGAAGATCACAAAGTGTAAACTCATCCCAACTTATAATACAAAACAAGGAGCGACTAGTTTGCGAATGCTGAGCTTGGAATACACACATGTGGGAGTTTTAGCACCTCGACCGACTTTAGCCAATTCACTGGCGGTGGAGACTATTTTAAAGCGTGATCAAGAAGCGCAGGACTTTCGAGCGCCATACCAGACGAATAGCCCCTTTTCGATTGAAGGGACTGCTCCATGCATGGCTACTCCACAACGCGTTGCTTCTGTTCGAGATCTCTCTTAAGGAGAGAAAGGCCTTGAACACGCAGATGTATCATACATACCGTAAACAGAAGAAGTCCTTGGATGCTATCCAGTACTTGTACAGAGGAGAACTCAAGATATAATGATTTTGACATCCTCTTTATTTACAATAATCGTGTCAATACTTCGGACATGGTAGCTTGATGCCTATCTTAACTGCCCCCGTACCCAGCGAAGCCAAGAGTCCGTGGGGATACGGATTCCAACCATGAGCCATGGGAGAGAAATAGGCCAGTCTACTCATCGGGCCAGGGGGGTAGACTACACACCCACATGTTTGTAGAGAAAACACGAAAATACCTCTTCCTACAACCCATGCCCACTTCCAACATGAGTGAGTCGGATTAAACCACTCTCTACTTGACCAGCCACCCAAGTCCACTCGGAACCACTCGGGTCCCCGCATCCAGGCCATCGCACCCTCTGTTGGCGCCAATGGCCCCTGTTGGCGCCAAACGCGTCCGCCAACACCGGCCAACGGGCGACATGCAGAGATGGCCGAGTCGACGCAAACCTATGAACACAGATTTCTTCTATCCTATACATGAATGATGAATGAAACACATTCCGAGATATCTTTCATTGCCTTTCCATGTCAAACCAGTTCTTGGAGATCCATTTCTTGCCACATGTGACCTGGTTCTAAGCTTACACAATGATATGACATGAGCTGGAGAAGACTACGACCGAGGGTGGAACAATCTGCCCTCCCTGCTGAAATGCCGGCGCTACAACGAGGGCCATAAAATCAACTGATCAACATCTGACGTTCACATTTAAAATGGATCCATATATAAATATATAGAATGGGGGTTGTGCAATCAAGTTCTTCAGCTGCTGTTCTTGTTGTTTTCCCTATCTTTCATTTGATTTTGGGGGATGACCTTCAAGTTTTCCGCGCATTTTTCGGAGTGTCCCCTAAATACTGTTTAAAACAAGCAAACAAGGTGTGGCCTCCGCCCCACCACTTGCAGTAACACCGGGAGGTGTTCGGAGTTGGGATTGTCGCTGCCGTCCTAGCCTGTCGCTCTTCCAAATCAGACCACCGGAGTTCCTCGTTCTCAGCGTCACTGGTAGGTGAATCCTCTAGACTCGAGTAGGACACAACCCTGGTGTCTCCAATGTTCAAACAACACCAAACGCGTCCGTTCCCAGCGTGACACAGGACGAGGGCGAAGCAGTCGTGCTTCTGCAAAGCGATGCGATGCGGTCGGTGGTCCATCGTGCGAAGCGCGGTCTTGTTATGGGTTGTGCGCTCATCGAAACGACGGGTCCGTTGTTTGCACTGACGAACCAAAAATGGGAGTGCTCAAAAATGGCCGGGGAGTCCCCTGTCAGACTTTGCTAAAGCACAAGTTTGGGGATGAGTCCACTACTGCAATTTACTGCATATACACATGGATAATGGACCTTGTCAAGACCAGTGTCCTTCGCTGCGGGTTCATTATCTATGTGAAGACCTTGTAAAGACCAAAAGGGTACACTCCCCCCAATCGTGTGTCCGTGCCTGGTGATGTGGGTATTGTCCAATGCAATCCTCATCATCTGTCTCCTGGACAAATGAGTCTGATGGATCTGCAGTTGAGCCTTTTTCAGTCCGTACTTGCAATGGCCTCCAACCTAATAGCATGGCCTCCAGCCCAATAGCGATCATGCACTAGTCCGTACTTGCAATCCAAACTCGAAAGGTCTTTTTCAACTCGTACTGTAAAAAGAGGAGAGCTGATAAAAGCACCCATATGGGACGATGAAGTAAAACATCTCCAGGTGCAGGATATGTTGGTGGACTGCTGGATGTTGAGCCGATCCGTAAAACCAAAGCTCATGTCAAGAGTCCGTGGAGCTAAATCTGGAATAATCCGGATACTTCTAGTAGCCAAGACTGTCTTTGCCTACAACTTGTGGCCTACACATCAGTGCATTCTGGACGAAAAACATATTGCAAAGCTGCTAAACCTGGATGGTTTCTGATGTGAAGACGCCCTGGAGTTTGCCTCACAGTTCTTGAACAGTTCCACTGGAGTCCAACTTGGCTTAGCTCTATAGCTTTCTACACTGACCTTACCAGCTAACCGCTCACATGCACTGCACAACCTTTGCCTCCACAACTAATTACTCATTTGCTTCAAGCCTGCACCCATCTGTGCCACTCCGCTCGCATCCTGAATTTCCTCCGGGTTGGTGTCCGTGACTGTGTGCCTGAAACGCCAATCTCCGTGTTGGTGGGATTTTACACAATGTGTTCACGGCTGTTCTGTTGAAGGTGGTCGAGGAGGGTACTTACTTTACAAGCTAACGTCCCACAAAACTTGGAAACAAAAAAAACTATATATAAACGAACATACTCCAAATATAATATATATATACATGGTAGAGAAATGAATGCAATAAATGGATATCTCAAACTGTAGAACTATATACTGTGTATGTACTTGTGTATATGTGTGGAATGAAAGAAAATCAAATTAAGAAGAGAGAGAGAGAGGGAAAAGAAACGAAATCAATAAAGAAAGAACAGAAAAGAAAAGAAACAACGAACGAAAGAAAGAGTCAGTGAGAGAGAGAGAGAGGACAAGAAGAGCCGGTAGAGCGGCAGGCAGCCAAGGGTCTTTGCTGGGTAGGAGATTAAGTGAGGCTCAAATTCACTGTCTCGCCACCAAATCCAGTTCACAATGAAGTTTGATTATTGAGTCCTAGTTCCTCAACGCATGTTCGAGGTCCACCACTGGCGGAGCACGTCGGGCACGGGAACTGGATCGATTGCCGCGGGGAGTCAACCTATTCAGCGGCTTTAAGGCTTTAATATGTCCGTCCCTTCCACGATGATTGGAGTAGCGTTGTAGTTGTAGTGCATTTGTACTGCTTTCACCCACCCAAATACTTGTAAAATGCAGAGTATCAGAAACCGAACTAACTACATACTTTAATTTGCGATTCGGGGCGGTTTGTCGCTCAAGAGCCACTGACGTCGATTCTCTTGGAGGTGTATGCAAGCCATTTTATGAACACTTTTGCCAGTCCCCAATTTTTGCCAGGGCACTGCAAGGCTTCCCTGGGCTGCAAGGGGTCGAGGACGGTGTGGGTGGGACGGTTCTGGGTAGGTTGGACAAGTCCCCATCACTGGTATCGTCTGCCAGGGCCGCCCGGCGGCCTTAGGGAAAGGACTTCTACCCCCCGACGCAAAGACCATCGAAACTCCATGGAGTCCAGCACCCTCTTTCAAAAAGAAACCGTCTTCCGCAAACATGGAAACCACATCCAAAAAAGATCAGAATCAGAAACACGACCATGCCAAGAAAGAAACCGTCCTGAATCGTGACAAGGGCACCAAGTCGTATCCGATGCCAAAAGGATCGTCATGGACGAAAGAACCACACTGGTTCCCGGGTGGGGACGGGGGCGGTTGCTATGTTGCTGATGGAGATACTCCCTGAAGTAATCATGAAAGTGGAAAACAATTGAAGACAACCTGTTTGTAGAGGAAACCGCCCCAAGTATGTCTGATGTGGTTCTTTCCAAAACGGGGTTTACCAGATCCTACTTCACGGATCCGTATTCATCTAGCATCTATATATTACTGTCCCAACTACTGTCCCATAGCGGTGTTCAAAGTGTCCCTCTGTCATCTAGAATATCTTGAAGGTCACTAGGCACTTCCCGCGGAAAACCTCTTAATGGTACAAGGTTATCCAACCACCCTGGTTCTTGGACTCCTTGCCATGGCATTCGCGGTTCAAATGAGATTTTCCAAAGAAGGTGGTTCTATTTCAACCCAAATATGAGGAATTCGGAAAGATCTCTCGGTCTTTACACGGCTGTGGAACATTGATTGCCTCATGCGGATGCTCCGCGTTCTCCCCTTTTCCTTCGATCTCCAGTAACTCTTTGCGCTGGTCGGTGGTCAAAGGCCGCCCCACAGGTTTGGCCGAGGGACAAGGCTTGGGAATGATACCTGACAGCCACGGGACCAAAGACGCGCAACAGATCAACAGCTGGACCAAGACCTTTTCTTACAATCGCTATTTCCATGTTTGGGTCTACCAACATGTTCAAACGCGCTCGAACACACCATGGATCCTGTCCACTCAGGAAGTTGCTTGGGCCCCGCTAGCAAGCTCTTCTGTTCAGGGCTTCGACAGACCCGAGGGTGCGTTCCTGGGATATAATCTTTTCAGAAGCGTCTGTACTGATTCATGTGGTGATCGGTAGTGTTGGAGGTCAGCTTCTTCAAAACGGACATTTCCTCAGAATCATCGTCAATGAACTGATTGTTCTTCAAAACCATAGTGACCAACTCGAAAGCATCCAAAAGTATCAACGAGATGTTCATTTATTTCCTTTTTAGGGGCTTGGTGTTGACCCAAACCCAGATGACTGACCTGCTGATTTTGTAACAGGGCTCTGTTTGGCTCTTGTCTGTTCCCCATCCCTCCAAAACAATTCTGAAGCACCACGGGATGGGAACGCCGCAACGCCTCCCATCATCTCATTCGTCCAAAAGGAACCCACGTCGCTCGTCCAGCGTCCCTTTGCTTTCAATTACACCCATGACCCCATGCCCAATTCAACACACTCTGGCACCTGACTCGCTCTGGCACCTGTCTGGCAGTGACTGCAAAACCTACTTTGGCCTAGCTGGCTTCTTCTACCTGAACCCTGGCTCTTAAACGGCACCGGAGACTCTATTTTGGGGGACGGGATGGATATATATATATATATATAATATATATATATATATATCTATCATATCTATATAGTTCTTGATTCTTGATCTGAGGCATCGTCGTCTTGATTCACCCTCGCCTAAAAGGGCGTGGGACATTGGGTGAACCAGGAACTCCCCAACCCTGTCGAGGGGCAGGAGCTCCATCTGCTGCTGCTGTGCCAAGGCCTGCTGCTGCATTCGATGATGCTGCAGCAACCTGATCCCGGATGAGGATGATCGTTCCAACTCGACCCGGTGGTTCCGTCGCTCTCGACAGGCGGAAAGCATGAAATCCTCGAAAATGCTTGGAAGCTCCTTACTCTGCTCCGGTACGCACGGGAGGGACAGCATAATGTCGCTTGGTGAGCCCGAAGAATGGGGTGGCAATCCTGTGGGTACCAGTGACTGTAGCAGTGAGTGTAGCAGTGTAGCAATCCGCAGCGAAAGGATCTAGTTTTTTTAAAACAACTATAGCTCCTTGAGTGAGTGGATCCTGGGATCCTTGATCCTTGGGAACACCATTCACGTGTCCCAAGCCTCATTCCGGTGCCCCTGACCCCAGAGCTTGAGAAGCTTGGCATGGAAAATGGGTCACCCCGTATTTGGCACATTCTCATCATGTCTCATTCGTTCATATACCACACTTGTACATAGGACACACCTCAAAGAATTTCCATACCCACTTCATGCATCTCACCCAAACGTGAATACATGATAATACATGTCCAACCTGACCGTCAGGACTGTCCTGACATGTCAAACTTCCAATAGCTTCTTGTTACTAGTAGCGATGCACTTGTTACTAATAGCGATGCACTTTCCTTCCGCCCAGGAGCTGCTGTTGCTCCATCTGTAGTTGCTGGAGCTGTTGTTCCATAGACAATCCGTTGGAGCCCATGGACTTCACCTTACAGCCGGCGCAGCACTCGATAAGTTGTGGGATGCCCTGGGAGGTTCGAGATTTGTGGTCTGACATGGTCTGAGTGAGTTGCAGGTTATGGTCTGTTTTCGGAGATAAAAACAAATTGGTTCATTCATCCCAACTTTTGTGGTGTTTTGAATTGGAAATATTTTAGAGGCTCAGGACCGCCGATGATTGGGCCAGCCATGGTCAACCATGCTATAGAGATGCGCCTCGCCTCAAAAAATTCATCGCGAAAAAAGAGCATGAACACTCTAATGGGGGACAGTGCTCCCACATTGAACTAAAAACGATTCTGAAGACCTTTTGAAAGGATACGGTGCCTTTATGTGCCTTTCCATTACCTTTCACCTTATTTGGCATCCTGTCAGCACCTTCCATGGATCGGGCTCACCGTCTCAGCACCGTGGATCCACTCCGGTCAGGCCCGGGGCCCCGCACGTCCTTCAAGGACGATTGTCCGCCTGAAATCACCCTGCGAAGCCAGAGATGTGAGGCGAGCCGTTGGCGCCGTTGGGCGGCTCGCCGCACCGGGGGAATTGGACGACATGTAGACTGAACGAGCAATAGACGGTCCATATATGAAGAGGTGTTTCAACTCCAATGGGGTGGTTGATTCATCAAGGGTCTACGTTACTCGAGAGAAGCCCTCCAGTACTTTTGAGACACACCCCGGTGGGACGAATTGTCCTGCGAACAGGCGGGATCAAAAAAATAATATAACAAGTTAATGTGTTGTGCGAACATATCGTAAGTGTGCAAAGGAAGACTAGGGATCGGATTGAATCACAAGATTGCTGTTTCTGGTGTATCACCAGGCCTGCGATCCTTAAATAGAGAAACGTATGAACCCTGCAGAAAGCCTATTTGCCAAAGCCTATTTCGGGACCACAAGTGAGCTCAGAGCCTACAAGGCCCTAAAGGGTGACCAACCGCTGCCAAACGGGTGCCAAGGGTGCTTCCCGTTCTCTAATTCAGATGAATCAATTGTTGCAACAGAAAGAAGAAGCTTTAAGTTGATAGAGGACGCCCACCTTGGAGTGGCTGGAAAGGAGATCAACACATTGGCATAGACATGTATACGTGTATAGAATTGCAAAGACCACTGCATGCAGGCAACGTCCATGACTCGTCCATCTTCTTGAACTGTTCTCCACCCACAGCCAGCTGGATCCTGCCGACCGCTGGATCCTGCCGTCATGCCCAAAGTGGACAACAGCAGCAAATGCAAAGCATGCTTCACCAAGTTGTTGCCTTGTTCTCCTCAGCAGTTTCAAGAGTGCCATCCTTCTCCTTCAAGAACGTGTTGTAGGGCTGCCTCTTGTTGTACCAGTTCACTCAGCACTGTTCACTCAGCTTAAAGTCTGTTTTGGGCGTTCCCAGCACTGCCTGCACACAAACCTTTGATACGACCACTGTGACCACTGACCACTCCAATGTCACGGTCTCTGCCGGGGGAAGCAGCTCCCGGACTCGTTTTCTGGTTCACATTCAGCTTGGAGTTTTGACATGTTTTGACTTTCCTTCGTGATAAAGTGAGCCTTCAACAAGTGCCTGCACGAATTACATTGAAGCGGCATGACACTGTGCCAGCTGACTGGTGAAAGCTCCTGAAGCCCGGCAATGTCTCTCCATCGCGTTGAACTGATAAAAGGAGGAATCGACTGCAGTCCTGCGAGCTCAATGCATTCCGTTGTCTCACCCACCTGTTTGGCAAATGCCAACCAGCCCCTCCGCGCGGCTCACTGGGTGCCGGGCAAGTATTGACCAGAGTTCCGATTGGTGTCCTGGCAGTGCCCAACACACAGAAAGACAAAGACACCGGGGACCAAGCGAGTTACACCTTTGTTACACCTGGTTCGCATCTAAACTTTTGAACATTTTGGAACACCTGATACATTTGTGATAAACTAAAGGTGATGTGCCCAATACATGGCAGAAGCGGGTGAAGGATGGTGAAGGGTCACTCGAGCCACCGCACTCAGAGCTAAACAGAACATGGGTGATCTTCATGTCATGTGATTGATATGAGCGGCGGCAATGCAGATGGTCTTTCATACCAGGGTTTTGAGCCTGGAAATGGAAGGAAACTTGCCTCTGGACAGGAAGAGAATCAAACCATCCATATCCATCCATCAGGTATACAGTACATTATGGGTGAAACATATGGTTATTATTTATTATTTATACAATAATAGTTGTTATGAATAACATATAATTACATAATACATATACCAAATATGACAAAAGTGCCTCTCCTTGATCCCTTTCCCTTCCGACCAACCAAACGAAGTCCAACCAGTCTGGGCTCAGAAACCTGCGTCCCAACCGCCCTGCGGGTTCCCCCGGCCTCCTTAACTCCTGGGGCGAAGGGCAAAGGGGCGGATGGAAGAGTGTTTCGAAAGCAGGCCTTCCCTGAATTCTACAGATCTTAAATTCAAGCTGGTTTGGTGTTGAGTTAGCATGTGTTAGCCGTGCTGGCACTGACAAGATGTTTTTTCTTCAACAAGTCTCTGATTTTGCCTATTGGACCAAAAAGCAATTATCAACCACCACAAATAGACCGTTACCCAGCAACACCGACGCAACAACCATGACGTCATCGTCAACAACGGCAGCAACCACCCACAGAAACATTGGGTCCAAAGGTTCTTACAAGCTTAATCCAACCCACAAATCCATCAACTTTCTAGCTGACCTAAGAAGTCTGGAGGGGCCAATGAACTAATGATAACCAATGAACAATGAACAAGTGTTTCACACCTTTTGGTGCCCTGGAAAAGCCTACCTCAGGTGACGCGAAAACTTTTGCGGCCTCGAAGCAAAAGGGTAGAAACCTCGCGAAAAAGCATGTTGGATGGACCGGATACGACAGGATTGCATAATTTGAACCTCATAATTAGGCCTAATTCAGCCACTTGTTCAGGGTCTCAGGCATGTTTCTCTTTCCAACAAATGACCACGCTCCGGCCCTCCAACTACCAGACACACTTTTCCCAGTCAGGTCCCTCATTTCTGCCTACGTCGTCCCAGTTCCTGGGCCCCCGCACCCTCTCGCACAAAATCCTCTTCGGATCCCTGGCCGGCCGTGGGACCAGCCCCCAATATTGGAAGAAACTAAGACAATCCAGCAGTCACAAAGGGGTGCTTAATGGAGGTCAGGTGGGACCACCCCTTTGTAACTCCTGGATCTACTATCTTCCCAGGAGTTCATGTTCGGAGTCTAGGACCACAACGTCATACGTCATTGGTGCATATGTTCTGCTCAGCGACCGAAACCGGAAACCTTAGCCCACGATTCCCGTGCCAACAAATCCCGCACGGCCTCGGGAGTGCTGTTTGGGGTCTCGCCTCAGTGTTTTCGGCGAAGCATCTTTTGGCATGAAATACAGTATATATATATATATAACATATCATACAATCATATAAAATATCACATGACCGCGAGCCTACTATGGCTGTAGGATGCTGTAGGTGCACCTCATACTTGTCAGGCACCTGGCCCCATGTCGAGCAGATCGTCAACATGTCCGTGGACACAGGAGGTAAACAACACACTGCAAATCGTACCACATAAAGGAAATCCTTCTGGCTCGCTAGCATTGTTCTGACCTAATATTCACAAATATTCACACAAACAAGTACAGTAACGTAGTGCAAAATGCTCTAGAAGTAAAGTAGGGTAGTTCATGGTGGTTGCCCCTGACAGGACCCTTCGGGCTGTTTGAGTGGACAAAGGAGGTCTTGTAGCCCAAAAAGCTATACTATGCCAAACGAATCAAGAAAAAAGCCACAGCGATGACTGCGATCTTCAAACCATGTTGAGCCCAGACCTGGTCGTCAGGAAAAAACACCGAACGAACACTTTCTGGTCCAAGGAGCCCATCAGACGAGTCCCATTCGCGACGCCGACCTGCGTGGAGCGTCGGGTCAGATGTGGAGCTGGGCTCAGTCAGGCCCCACCAATGAAAAAGTAAAATCGATTCACAAATTGAACAGACTGAACATATATGACGAAGATGTGACTTCGAGAGCCCGAATTTAGATTTGCTAAAGTTCTGTATGCCATTGTATGCCATGCCAATGGGTGGAGGTGTTTCTGAGCTTTCTGCCATCGGCCTTCACCAGAGTGGCAAAAGCTTCCGAATCCTTCGCATCATGTTCTTCCTACCGAGCCAGCTAGTGAACCTATGTTATACAAAAGGTATGAGATGTCTCGTTCACCAGCCCGTCATTTTACTCGATCCCACCAAAGCGGAAGTTCCTTCTAGCGGTTTTTTTGTCCACCCATTATATAACATATTCAATCAAAAAATAAAAAAACTATATATATATATATATCCTCCCTTGGCCCAGTGCCCCTGGCGGTCATGGGGCCTGGTTCTCCATTGGCATGAAGTTGTTCTTGACCTGGAGAAGACTCTTGGACCCACTGGCGTCCAAGTAGGTCCAACGAGCTGAGTTCCCTGAGTTCATGGTTACCATCGTCGCTGGTTTCCGGCTGGTTTCCTGGTGACCGTGGGTCAGGACATGAGGAAGCGGGGTAAACGTCAAATGCAGGTCTTTGACCAAAGCCTTCACCCCTCCGTCCACCTCTATTCTGCGAACAATTCGATCGTGTACGTGTAAGCTCTCTTTGTGGAAGAGTGAAGCTCTTGTTTTGTGATCAACAACTCTCAACAAGACACTGCAAATAAAGGCAAATCCAACTTGAACCGCACGAGGTGTGGCTGATGCAGATCCATCTGATCCTCAACGGCATTTTGTTCAACACCTTCAGATGTCAAAGCAAGACCAACAGAAGCTTTAACGCAGGTGAAGAGTGTCCTTTCCTATCCTTCCCAATAGAGCAACATGTTCATGGCTGTCCTTTCACCAGGAAATGGCCACCTCTCCATCTCTCTCACCCCCATCCAGGTCATGATGCTCTTCCAATCCAAGTCATGAAAAGGCGACGACTTTGGGATTCCCTATGGCTCCGGGCCATCTGTTGCTGCTCGAAGTTTCCATTGCCATTGTTTTGGTTTGCCACCATCATCCCTGAGCAGTTCATAGGCCTAGCGGAACGCCGAAGCGGGCTGGATCGGGGTGGCATCTGTGGAATGGTTGATTACGACTTGGTCGCACTTTGTTGCGGGGACTTGGTCGCACAACCCAAAGACCAAAGACCTGCAAGAACTCTCCCCCATTAAAGCAACATGTTTACATAATCACACTTCAAAATCCTTACCGACCCTTCCTCACCCTTTTGTCACTGGAATCCGAATCCAAGCATCATCCAATTTCAATTTGACCAACAGAATATGTATCTGGGGTCCGGGTCCCCAAAATAGATTACGAGGTCGCAATGCAAATGCCCTTGAGGTCTGCATAGTCTCACCTTTCATCAAGCGCCAAGAAGTTTTGAAGTTGTCCGTCATTCGAGCAACAGCAAGAAATGCCTTCAAACATGTTCATGTTTACAATATAAGTCATTTGAAGTGGTTGTCAAAGTACATGGCTGAATGGTGCTCTCGATCCCCCTTTTCTCATCTATCTTCTTGTCACATGCTGGTGTTCTTCAAGTCACCGCTCAAGTTGTGTTGAACATACACTGGGCACACATTTCAACAGCTACCTCTTGAGGCACAACAGCTACCTCTATGGTAACCAAGACAACACCCCACAGTCGGGGACTTGCTGTTTGGGTCATCCACTGCATGGGTTCGGGTCATCCACCAAACTTTTTTGTAACCTCATGGGTGCCCATGGAAAAATTAGCGCAGATGGGAGAGAATGAGCTTTTTCATGGGTGTCAGTGACAAGTGGGTCTAGCAGTGGGTCCCACCAAACCTCAGCCACAAGCGCTAGCCGCTAGATGCACTGGGCGGCCCCACATCAACTGCATGCCCGCGGGGACTTGAATGAATTGCACCTCAAGTCCCATGCACGGGGGCCGCTGGGGCGAAGCTCCCATTGTTTTCGGTGAGTCCCGTCGGCTCCGAAGAAGCCTCGATGAGTCCCTGGTGTCTCCATGTCTTCGTGAATGGAAAGATCTGCGTAGCCTCCGCATGTTGTGCAAACATGTGACAAACGTTAGGATATTCATGGATCTTCAAAGGCTGTCGACGCAAATGGATGCATCCCAACACGGACATTGTGGAATCGGGAATCGCCAAACACTTGCGTCCCATTTTCCCAAGTGAGCTTCTGCCAAAACATCGCAGAAGTGTTTATTGCTTTGCAGAATCATTGGGAAAGTTTCACCAACTCAGACCAGTCGATTGAAAAACCATATGAACCTGGGCGAGAACATTGAGCTGCAACTGTCTACAGCGATCTAGAACTCCCATGAACTCCCCAGGTCTCACATCCAACTCCTTAACTATCCCTAAACTCCTGAAAAAGGCCTTCTTCGGAACATCCTGAACTGCAATGACTCCTGACGGTTTTAGGCGCCTGAACTGTCCGCCCAAGCCAAGCGGCGTTTTGCATGGTCTGCATCGGCGTGGCGAAGATGGTAGGGCTTTGGCAACCCGGCCTCAAGAAGGAGGGGAGACGGCTGTCCGCCCGGCTGTCCACCCGTCGTGGGTGATGGTCATGGCGTCATGGGCGGCGTTCTCTTGCCGTTCAAATACCCATGGTGGGCTCACAACAAAATGGATGGTGCAAAACGGCATACAAACACGAATGAGTTCAATAAAGGCGCTCTGGGGACCTCCCTGATTGATCGGATTTGTGCTGCCCTTCTTTCCAGCATCCTCCAGCCGTTCATGTTGTTTCCCCCAAACACTAACGAGTCCGCCGATGTCCACCCTACCCCCCGCTGAAACGCGAGCGTCGTTCCAACCGCTCTCAGCCATCCGACATCATCGGTGACGCTTGCGAGTTGCCCTGCATGGAAGACTGCATACCTATGGACGCTGCGTACGCAGCGGTCGGACATGATTCAAAGCGGCCTGTTTTTGGAGGGGAGCCCTGCGGCCGCCCTTTCAACATAGTTGAACGTATCAACAACTGGGGCGACATGCTTATCGGGGGCCTATCGCTTTGGGTTTGATGGAACCTTTCTTGGGTGGGTGGCCGGCGGCCGTCACCCCGGGGATCCGGTGGATCCACCGGTGGATCCAGCGGATCCGCCAGGTGGGTCGCCCATGCTTTCAGCCCTTTCTGATTTAATGATTATGATTTACTGTATGTCTGATTTTATCAGTTGCCCCCTTTCTTTGGTGGTCTATGTCTCTTGCTGTCATCTGAGATCCACAAGTGTCATCTTTTCTTGGCTGAAGATCAAGTTGAACAAATGTCGAGCAATCATGTCGGACCGACAGGGGCCTGTATGGAATTGTCCAAAGAATACTCCTTTCTTGCCATGACGACTGGTCAGACTTGTGACGTGAACTCGCGTCCGGGTCGGACTCCTTCATTCATGTTCGACACCACCGAGGAAAATCCGTGTTGGTATCGCTGCAATGAGAACCTGAGGTATATAAATATAATATGGACAGTGTATAAAATTATGATAAATTATGTACATTTAGAACACATATTTAAATATATATATATATTATATATATATATACATAGATATTGAAGTGTTACTTATTGTTATGTGCGTGACATAGAAAAGGTTGGAGGGATCCGAGGGAGTCGAACTTCCACAGGTTTCCAGCGGATCATGAAAAGAGTCGACTGAGCCAACGACATGATGTCTGAAGCGCTGAAGGCCCTCAGGCGGAGATTGTGAGACCCCGGAGAAAATGCACGACGTCCAAAACATGTTTCGGTATGCGCCTATTGGGATCATGTATGCAGCTGAGTTGTCTCCATACTCCAAAGATCTCCCAATTACATTCAATTCCTCCAACCATCGCTCTCCGTGCCTTTGGTTTTCCGCGACAGAACCACCCTACAACCGGAGCGACACTCCGGGCTGCCCCGCCACATTGTGGCCCCTGACTGGCCACATTCGCCTGCCATTGCCTTTTCAGCTCGACACGGACGTTCCAAACTCGCGAGACCCGGCGAGACCGTTGGGGTGGCAGAGTGCTGCCAGCGCCTTTTCGGGTGAGGGACGTACACAACGCACGGATGAGACATCTGCTGAGTGGAGTGAAGGAGTGAAAAGCATCTGTGAATCTTTGTCCAAAGGAATCTGGACGGAGCATGGCCATTTTGGGGTTGGACATCGAACCGAACAGGCGAATCTGGTCAAGTTTTGAGAGTTTCAGGAACCTTCCAGTCATCTGTGGTGATCATGCCACGATTGAAGGATATTTCCATTGATGACCTGGATTTGTCCTAAAAAAGAGAGTCCCCCCACTGACCCTGCAAGGACCTCTAGCAATTAGACATGAAGAATTCAACACATTCATGATTGCCATGGAGCTGAACATGGACACGTGTGTCCACAACCACCAGTCCTCCATTTGACCAGCAGTCCCCCACGGATCAGGCACGCAGCGACGGGTGGCGTTCAGCGAAGGGGGCCACACCATGGTTCCATGTTCAACACTGACACCGGTCGAGGAGTTCCACTGGGCTGCACTGGGGATCCTGCATGTTTGGCATATTGGAGTTGATCATCTGCAAATTCATGCCTGGAACGGCCGACTGGAACGGCCGCTTTTTCATCGCTGCGCCCTGCAGGGCTGGTGTCAACATGTCATCACCACAGGCATGATCCCCTCGTGTTGGAAAAGGTGAATATGGTGCATTCATGTGAATCCTCGATCGAATGAAGAGCTCAAGTCAGCGGTGGTTCAAGCCGTTCAAATCGTTCAAAGTCAAAGTATTTCCCAGACTTTGCCGAACCTGAACCTGCGCTGATGGGGATTCCGATGAATCAATAAAAAAACACTCACTGGCCATCCAAAATGGAGGCGATCTGACTTCGGTGTTGCCAAACACGACTGGCCATGAGTGAAGAAGTGAATGAACTCAGAGCTAGGGAACCTCCTGCATGCGCCATACAAATCGTGCTTGAATCCGTCTGTCATCAGATCAGGAAACACTTTTAGTTTCTGTCGATGTAAATACTATATAAGCTACTAGGAACAAGTGCATCGCATCTAGTAACAAGTGCATTACTAGTAGTAACAAGAAGCTATTAGAAACAAGAAGCTATTAGTAAACTATATAATATATAATATATATATATATACGTCGAAAAGCAAAGCCAATTAGAGTCTCAATCGTGGTTGCCCACTCGTGCCAAGCACGCCGATTCATGGTTTATTGAGAACAAGTTGGTTGGGGGCCCCCCATTTGGTTCGACCAAAGGAAGCAAAGGGGATTTCTGGTCAGAAGGCCGGAAACAAAGCCATCAGTGCTAGGAATCCTGAGTGAGGCCGAAGTCATCCAATCCAATAATCCAACTACTCCCTACCCCTCGTCTGCTCCAGATGCTTTCGCCCACCCATGCCCAACAATCTCGTCTGCTCTCCAAGCTGCCCTGGAGGTTCATGTTTTGCATCGCACTCACAGTTCCTGCACTGTCGTGGAAGGAACCAATGTACAGCTCGGTGTTTGAGCGCTTTGCTGTGTTGGGAATGTCCACATGCTTCTTCCCAGGTCGCAGTATGGAGGATGCATATCATTCTGTCTTCAATCAGTTTAATCATTGTCTCGCAAAATACTCAGCCAGGGCTGGACCACGTCACCCTCTCTGCCACGATCGACTGATGCCGATCGGTTAGTGCAGGTATTATTCGGACCCTCCCACTGGTCTAATTACTATATAAGCCAATGTTCATCAGCTGGCGAACTTGCATTCTCTACAGCTTTGTTCCTTTCTTGAAACAAAGCAACTAGGGGACTTGAAACTGATGCGGCTGGCAACAAAACGTTAACCAAAAAACTGTCAAATGCACTTTAGCCGCTGTAACCAACATCTTCAAGTCAATAAAATGCCTATAGAAAATACTTATTCTATATATATATATAATTATGTACAAAAATTTCTATATAATGTATATATATATACATTTATATACATTCCATGTTGGTAGCTTGCATGGCCATTTTTGTCAACTTGGAAGTCCTGTTACCAAATGTCGCCACACGAAACGGCGTCCTGGAACTTTCCGCCCCTCGGCAATGCCTTGCAAATCGAAGCGACTGGGGCCATTGAATCGTCCGAAGAAGAAGGACCCGCTTCTCGCAGTTCTGCAGGAGACTATGTGGTCCAACTCTGTGATTCAGCTTCAATGGTTTTTTGACAGCCCGTGCTGAACAAGGAAACATTCATACAGAAATGATCGTCAATACAAATCACGACTGCTTAGCAGGTCTGAATTTCTCTTTTGGGCCAACCTGGAAAAGCTTTTGAGCGAAGCCCTCACACGGGCGCAGTTCTTCAACCCCATGGGCCGATGGCCGGTGGGGTTGGGGGAAACAGATTGGACGTGCCGTCCATGAAGCGTGCCGCATGCCGTCAGTGATATGGGAAAAACAAGATGATCTTGATCTGATGATGAATTTGCTGTACTTCAGGAGAGTCGAGAGATGTTGAGAGGGTATGATCTGCTAACGACATTGGCAAGCAGGGTGGGGCTGGGGGGATAATCATGGAAGGCCATGAAACTGAATCATTGTATTTGCACGAGTCAGCTCTCGCTCACACCCCATTCCCACTATTTCGCATTGCCTGTAGGAGTTCTATATGTCTTTCTGTCTGGATTGGTACACAACCATACATTATCCTAGTTCAGAAGAGGACAGAGCCGAGTTCTATGTCAGTGGTCAAATTCCAATGAGTTGTGCAGTTCCTACAGTCTTTCCAAATGTCGCTGGCAGGTTCATGCACCCGAAGAAGCGCCAGCCTCGAGAGAGGCCAAAGATTGCGATGCCGAGTTGAGCGGCAAAAAGTTATTTGAGCTGTCAGCTCTGCGGAGACAAAAGGCAGCGATCAACAGGAGGAAGCCAAGTACAAAATATGAAAGAAGTTCTGGAAGAAGTTGAGTTGGCATGTCCATCCATGTCCCAATGCCGCACACCATGTCACAAGTGTCAGAATTTGTGAATCCCTGGTGAAACTCCTTTCAACTTCTCCTTGTAGGGTGGAGGCCATCACTGCTAGGGTGGAGGCCATCGATAGTAGGGTGGAGCCATCGCTACTGGGGTGGAGGCCATAGTAGGCGTTATCAAGCGACCATCGATCAGTTGCTCCTCGACCCTGGTCCATTCGGTGACACGGCCATCAGGTGCCCCCATCGCTTGCACTCGAGGACGGTTCAGTGGATCCACCGTGATCCACCCATGACAACTGGCACCAGGAGACCGACTGCAGGTCGGCCGCTCGCTCGCTAGTGGACCAGGACTCCATGAACGAGTTGAACGACCCATCCCCATATGACGAGTGCACCCCAAAAAGGCCCAGAACAGGCCCAGTGGCGTTGCTCGATCTTGCCAAGACCATCACCCAAAAAGCGAGCAAGGATCGGTTTCAGAGCACCAATCAAACACTGAAGTCAAGCCAGAGATCTGTCTCAAGATTTGTTACAAACGTGGCACCTGAAAGAAATGCTCGTAGCAAGAAGCTACGAACGTAGCTCATAGCGGCTAGCGCTACGTTCGTAGCTTGCACGTGTTACGTAGCGATGCACCGGTGACGAAAACGGCTCCGAGGTGTGGGAGCTGTTCGATTCGAACGGACTGCAGTCAGTGGCAACCAGCTGTCAGGGTTCTGATCTTTTGAAGCCCGCTATATATATTATTTTAAAGGGGGGGTAGGCCGCTAGAGGTGAGGTAGGTTAGCTAGGTAGGTAGCTAGTAGTGGCTAGGTAGCTAGTAATTACCTTACTTAGCTACTAGTATGGACGCAGGATAGCTCACGCTTTTATTCATTTGGTTCCTAGATTTTAAGGGAAACTTTAGCTAATAGCATCACGCAGAATAGCTCCACACACGTTTCGACCCACGCAGAACTGCCCACGCCCACTCCGTCGTTTTTTACTCTCCACGCCCGCTTGGTCTGCTCAGTCATCTGCCTCAACTCGCGAGCTGAGGCTACAGCAATGCGGATCTGGTCTAAAGAGTCTAATAGTCTATTCAGAAGCCGTCTCCAAAAGGGTTCCCAAGTTCCCAAGTAAAGTGAGATGTTTTTGATAGCCGTTCTGAAGGGTGTACTGGATCTCAGGATATTCAAGCGTCACTGTCAAACTGTCAGGACTTCACTCTCAGTATGCCCATGACTGAAATGGGGATGCCTGCCTACTCTGAAGCAACCATCTCCCTCACCACGCCAACAAAGGAATCCTCCTTCAACAACACAGCTTTGTCCAAGTGGCCATAGGTGGGCACAAATTCTATGATCGTTTAATCGTTTAAGATCGTTTATGCTTCATCGCCACTTCAAAAGGCAGCGTGCGATGTTGGCCTCCCACGTGGTTGGTCTCGCCCATCGCCCATGATGCGAAAGGTTTGTTTGGTGGTCGGGAGCTTCGGGGAGCTGCATGCATCGGTATCTCAGGTATGTATTGTGGGATGTAGCTAGAGCCGCAGCTAGAACCCCTCTCCGGCGATCAAAAGGCATTGCGACACAGGAGCATAATTAATCATTCAGATTCTGACAGATTCCCTGTGTGCATTCGATGTTCTACATGTTTCTATAACATGTTTCATCATGTGTCTCTAGCGGACAGGGTCCACTTACTCTTCGTTGTTCGTCCAAACCGTTTCTCCTCTGTTCTTCCCCTCTCCACCTCCAGGTCAAGACACCTCGGACTCTCCTCTCGCTCAAGAGGACTCTCGCTCCGCCTTCCTCTTCTCATCCACTTTCTTCTGAGCCTTACAGTTGGTACGTACCACACCCAGCCTTCACGGCTGAAGGGCCCAGGAGATGGACGCACTCAGTTCGGACCAAAGAGTCCAATCGTCCTTTTGGAGTTTTTCGTGGCAGGAACCGAGGAAAGGCCTCAGTTCATAATGGAACCCGTGCTTATATAGCTGGAAGGAACCCGTGGTTCATCCTGGGTTTCGACATTCGCAAACAGCCAGTGAATCGCAAAAAAGGTCAGTTGTCTGTGACAGAAAGAACAGCACCTTCGCAATTGACAAAAGCAAGGTATGTAATGACTTGCTGTACAGGAAGGTCATGCTGCAGCCACAGCCGTGTCCAGAGATTTGCCGTACCAATGCCAAGCTCAATGAGCTGGAAGACTTGCTTTCACCACAAAGAAAAAATACAGTGGATTGAGAGTAGATGGCTGATGGCACAAACCCCAAGATGTCTTTTATATAGGGGTCCATATACCACCTTTTGGGGATTGTGCCATCTACTCTCAACCCACTATATCATTCTGGTCCATCTTCGTCTTCGACGGCGCAACAATACGTGTCTGTTTTCGATGCCTTGGACTGCTGAAGAGTCACAGGACAGTAACCCCGTTCTTTCGCAAAACCAAAGGGAGGAAAGCGACACTTGTCCTTATGCTTGTTGATGTTTCGCTACACTTCCAAGAGGCCATGTTCATTCCACGGCCCAAAACACACATCACCTGCTGATTTCTCTTTGCCTCGCGCTGAGTCTTCTTCAGCTCCTCCTGGGGAAAGGGGCTCGGTCACGGTCACACAGAGCAAATTTGTGGGTCGGTCTACCGGGGAACACACACACACACACACTTAGATAAAGGCTCGCAAGAGCTAAGTCAGTGATGATCTCCCAGCGCGATAGCCCTTTACGTGAATACTTAGCACTTGACCTGATGGAACGGCAAGAGGTGCTGGGTCAGATTAATAGAATGTTTGAAAATAGGTGAAACATGAGGAATCGATTTAAAAATTAGCAGGTACACATTCAGGCGTCCCTGAATAATTCCACCAGTCTTCCCTAGCTTCGTTGGGCAATGTAGGAAGACGGTCGTGAGTCGTTGCCCCCCTGCACTGTACAATGGCTTGGTGTGGTCAAGTGCCTTGGAAACAGGAGGTGACACACACACACACACACAAACACACCGTCCACAGTGCCTTCAACTTGGGTGTTGCCTTGGATGTTATTCCACCCTGGATGAACCAAGAACTGACGGACACCAATGTACCAGTGCCTGAGCAGATGTTCTTCTGGCTTGTGCTGAGTTGAAAAATGATTCAAACTTGGCTGACTGTCTACGGAGTCTGCGGCTGGAAAAAGGACAAAAACCAACCCCGGACAAGGACATCTCAGCACCTGGAAGTTCCGGCAAAGACAGACTTGGCAATTAGAAGCAACCGTTGCCCTTTGCTATGATCCAGTCAAGTCTAACAATGTGCAAAAATAATGCCAGCGAGCCAAAAAAAAGAACACCATGTGTCCAAATCAGAACATCCTGTTAGTCTTGAGGTAGTACATGAAAAGCATAGTTCCACGATTTTTGACCCGGTTTTGATTGAAAATGGTGCACTTTTAGAGACACGGCAAAGCCTAAAAGTGGAGACACGGCAAAGCCTAAAAGTGGACTGTGTCGCGTGCCTTGGTTTTAGGTTTTCTGGCTCTGCTTTCCGAGGGTGTTCCTTTTCCGAACATGTTGCGTAGTCTTGCGTATTCAGATTCATATTAACAACCTCCCACAGATCACCACCTCGAAAGACCTTTGGAGACCTGCAGTAGACTTTGGGCGCAGGTTCTCTTTTGCGTCTCTCAGGTGTGTATCAGGACATCCCCCCAATCAGGTGAGAGTCTCCCTCCACGAGTACACACCATGGTCTCCCTCCGAATTCTCTCATTCCAATGCCTTCTCTTCTGCAGAGAGCTTCTGCATGCCGCGCTTGGCAAAGGCCTCCGAGATCGGTATCGGTTTTCGCGTCCGGTCTACATTCCATGCAGGGTATCCCAGGGTGGCCAATTATGGCCAATTACTCAAGAGATCTCAAGACGAAGGTTATTGAAGTGGAATTGCAAGCACCAAAACACTCCCCAAAAGACAGCGGTCGGGTTTGAGGAAACTATCCAGTATATATATTAGTGAACGGTTATTATTGAACGGTTGAACCCCCTCAAAAACAAATCAAAAAGCACATTCCACCGCCTCACATCGAAAGGACTCGCCGCAACCAATGGGGGATGCTCACGATCTGGTATCTATCACACCCGGAATCAACACTCACTAACCTAACCCATCAACCCTTCAGTGCCCGCCTGGTTGCGCACAAAGCGGCAGTTCATGCCTTCCATGGACATCTTCCGGGGCCTACCAGTTCGCGTGCTTGCCCATCTGGGACGACCAACGTGAGACCCCCACTACTTGGCTGCTTTGGAGCTCTGCTTGACAGCATCTTTGAACTCCTCCATTGACCACCCTGCACCAAAAACTGCACGGAACAAAACCGCCTGCGAGTCTTCTTGATGCCATTGCGGTGATTCCTGTCAGGCCCGCGGCTGTTCTGACGAAAGAAGCAAAATCTGCCCAGGAGTTGATTTCAATGTGTTCCCTCCTGATCCGCCGTCAACAAGGGATACGGTTTGTTGGCCACTCATATTGTTTCTTCAGGTTTACAGATTGTGCACGTTGCCTTTTTAGCCAGCTGTTGGATATTGACCACTTTGCTGCCCCCATGCCTGGTGTGTTGGGCGAACTTCGGTTTTGGTCAATGAAATCAATAGACAATCGTTACATCGTTGTTGTGGAGTTTCTCGTACACTGCTCTCGCGGCTACCAACCTACCTATATCACTTGCAAGGGAATGTGACATGGTGGAGAAAAGATATCTTTTTCCCACATCCACCGAGGAAAAATAAGGGCGGGGCACCTTAGCCGGCTAGAAACTAAAAAACATTAATAAACACTTTAAAAATGTTGCTTGAGGTTCTCTCGTCGCACTGTGTTTTTTTGCTACACAGGCCAAATGGATGGCCAAATTGACGGCTTCTCTGTGAGTGCCTCCAGGACGTCTTCCAAACAACGCAGCTACATGGTGGCTCCAACGGAGCCCCATTTGGCTCAGGGCGAGGTGAGGTTTCCCCAAGGGTGGGTCACCTCATTGTCTTCATGGAGGAGTAAACAATGTACTGAGAGTTCACTTTGACTTTATGGCACTTTCACTTTGTTCCCAAGGGGAGAATCCCACATTGTCAGCTTCATGTCAGCTGAACGGAACGGAACTGGTGAACTGCGCCAAACACTAAATCGGTCAAATGCGGGAGTCGTGTTGAGGCCCCCCACTTGTAGATCTGATTGTGACCAGTATGGTTCTTGCTCTTCGCCATGGCGCGCCTTGCTTTGGCGCTGAAAATAACCATGTGATGAATGGAGAACTAGAAGGTGAGAAAGGCACATGGACTGCATGTTTAAGACAGGCAAATCACTCATGTTTTGTTGAAGATTCTGCAGCAAAGTGTGGTCCACTACTGAAGAGGATTACAACATTTTCCCACGGTGTTGGGCAAACATTGCTCAAATCCAAGTAAGTGCCAAGCGCTGCTGTTGGTTCCAACCAACCAAGAACAAATTGATCCATGTTTCAAGCACTTTGTAGCTTGACTGATACCCCAATATGGTTTGGGTGAATGGGACAACCAGCCTGCACCTCGCACCGCACAAATTAGAAATCAAAACTGATGCTGAACGAACAGGCGAAATGCCATATAGTATGCCTATAGGTCAGTACTTCTCCAGGACTTCCCCCCAAAAAGAACTTAATCAATCAATCAATATATATAATACATAATATATGTAATATGGCCATCAAACCCCATTATGATGCGTTTTGTGGTCCTCAAGCAACACCATAGACCCGGGTGGTGGAGGACACGTTCATTTGGCCAGATGCCAAGAACATGCTGACCGATGCCAAAGACTTGAAAAGTCGAAGGACGCCCCCAAAACATGTCTAATACACTCCAACTCACTAGCATGGAAGCGGATGGCATGGCCCCTTGGAAGACTACTTCCCTTTACATAGAAAATGCCATCCACTTCCATGGAGGCGGAGTGTAGTATCAGTAGCACAAGTCACGTTGCCGCTAGGGCATCACATTCCCTAGTCCTATCATACCACAACACCGGCCCTTGCTCCGCCTGTGGAGGGGGGGACAGACTTGCGCTGGAGCTGCTGGACACCGCTGAAAAGAAGCAGCGGCGAAGCAATCATGGAAGCGAACAATCTGGATGATTTAACGCAACTGAACCAAGGACTCGAATTCATTGAGCCCCTGAGTGAGGCCATTGGTTTTTAGGTCAGTCTTCCTCCCCCAGGTCACTCAAAAGTCGTTCAATCTACCCTCCAGCAAAACAGAAACAGGACTCAGGTACACAGAATGCTTGCTCAATGGGTACACCACACCACACGCTATCAAAACAGTTCCATCTTCCGGAGCTCAAGATTTTGGCATTCGAAGTCAAGCAAAACAATACTGAGGCAACAATCGGATCGGTCCGTTCAACCGTTGGGTGTGTGTGTGTGTATATGTCCCACATCCAGGTGTTTTTGGTGCCACACGCGCACTTCGCGTCTAAGGTATAGTTGACATGCATGCATAGAATGGATATACTATGGGCTTATATTTTGTATGTATCATAGTGTGTGTATATATTTGTTTGTTGCTAACAAGCGGAGACTGAATGAAAAGTATAATATCACAGATGCTTGAGAGTTAAGTGTGTACAGTATATATAAGTAGTATATGTATGTACTGTATATCGTAAACTCTGTATTTAATAAATGAGAAATTGGAATGCCTTGCCTCCCAGAACTCCGGCCAAATCACCGGTCGCTCATGTTGCGAACGTCTTCGTTGGAACGTCACACGTCGCGCGTTCGTCGAGATCTCGGATCCCGGAGGTCGACTCAGGGGAACTCGTTGGAGATGGGCCTCGGATGGGTCTCACACACACATATGAAATTCTCACCAAAACCATCCAAAACCGCCAGGTCCCTCGTGATAGCAAAGACTTAGGTCACGGAAGATCACAGAAGCACAAGCGCACAAAATGGAAGCATACCAACACGGTTTGAACGTTGCCTTCGAAACATCCGACTACTCGAGGCGAAGACCATGCAAGTTCGCAAATATCATAACTTTTAAGCTGCTTAGCCAATTCCTACAGGTTCCCAGTTGTTTGGTCACGTTTCGACTTGTATCAATTCGTGCGACGGAAGACTTCCATGATTACGGCCCCAGGGCAGGTCTAACACCGAAAGGTCAAGCCGTTCATTCTGTTCCTGGCCACTCAGCACGGGCCATGGATGTCCGGGTCATCCATGGCCCTGTTCGCTCGTCCAACAGGTCGGTCTACCGATCTAACAGGTGCGCCACAGGACCGCAAGCTTGCGCCACGTCGGACTTTGATTTTTTGTTGTGTGGCTGAAACTGCAAGATCTACACCAAGAAAGAAGAAAAGCATGCTGGGGTAATTCTGGGTGATCCGCGTTCTCGGGTCTTCTTGGAAGTCTGTCTCGGGGCGTCATTCCTCTAATCTCGCCCCGGATCTTGGCGCCTGGAGGAGTTCTCGATCTTGGCGAGCCTTGTCCCAGCTGGTTTGGCCTCGGAGCTTCTTGGATCGGGGCCCTTCCATCAAGCGATTTCAAGCTCGTCATCGTTGTGGGCCATTTTGCTGGAAAGCACAACAAGGTCTGCAAGTTGCATTGCATGGCAGCATATGCTCAATATATCTCAATATCATATCTCCTGCACCAGGAACTCTGAAGTATTGTATAGCTGAACTTAATGAAGGTGGCAGTACTTGATAGTACTTGCTACTTTGGTTGATAGGGAGGAACAAATGTTCTGTGCACATGACCAAGTTCTCTATGCCAGGCTTGTAAAGTATGATCGTCAGTGGATCCCTGGTCCACCTCTTTCCAGGAACTGGAAACACCCAACCCTGGCACCAGTTTCCGCCGTCCTTTCCACCCGGTCTTCACCGGCCCAGCCACCAGGCGCTCGTGGCGACATCCTCCGTTTTCCGCAGGATCAACTCTCCGCCCTCTCAGTCGATGGAGGTGTCTTGCCTGGCTGGAGAACAGCACCGCAGAGCTTCAAACAAAAGTGCTTTCTGAATGAATGGGCACCCCGTGGTTGAGACACACAATCTGAGAATTGGTCCTAAACAACGTTAGAGGCCCAGAAGCGGCTTTTTCTCTGCAAAAGCCTGTCAGCACTAGGCACGTTCTACAAAATAGCTGGTCCGGTCGAGGTAGTGTTTCAATGTGTTTCAATGAAAAAGTGCGCGCAAACTAGGGTGAATCAACTAAAAGCCTTCGGTTTTTCAATGCGAGGTTAGCAAAAGCTGACAAGTGGCTCTGGCTATTGTGGCACGAAGCCTGCTAAATTTGTCTCAAACGGGCAATGAAATCATCGCATTTCTTCAGGAATGTGCAAACAGCTGACTACCTCATCTGTTTGCCTACCATTGTGACCTACCATTCGGGGTAGCGACACAAACCTGCAGACTCGGGCAGACTCGACCGTCGACAGCCCTCAAAAGTGCTCAAACATAAGTGATATAGATGATAAAGTGATAAAGGTGGAACTCAATGGAGCATGCTGGCCTACAAAACCATGTGGCAAGACCAACAACTTCTGTTGGTCATTCTAGAGACTTGCCGGGTGCTTGGCAGGGTCGTGAGATGATTTGAGATGACAGATGATTTAGGGGCCTTTGGCGTTATCCGAGCGATCCTTGATCCCCAGGAGAATGAGCACCCGTGAAAGTTTGGTCTTCCAACAAACCACCGGAAGGTGACGGACTGACCCCTCATCACCTCACGTTCAGGCACAACAAGCGCCACGCATCGCTTTCACTTCCGATCTTCCGACCATCCCTCGGCACCTGAGGGCTGCGAGCTTCGGCCACGCGTGGCGCTTCTCCGGCGGGAGCAGCCAAGCCTGGCGGGGTGCTATTTGGAGGGCTCCACAACCACGTGGTGTGTCAAGTTGGGATCGAAGACACATCATAAAGAACACTTACATATTATGCTTGAGGCTTCAGGTTGGCTTGAGTAGTGTCAACTCAACCAAAGCCAGGATGCTCACATCATAGGGGATACTATATATATATAATTACTGTATATGTGAGTGTGAAATACGTAATAATAGAAGATGTGTATATGTTTTCATTGGGGTCGCACCATTGTTTCAAGACCCTGTCTCCAAGGACCACCATGTCTCCAAAAAGAGGATCAAAGGAAAAGAATCTCCGAGTGCTATGGGCGTTCCACCGCTTTGTTGCCTTTGTCAGGTTTTTGTGCTTTGATGCGCTCAATTGCCAAAAACGGTACGATTGAAATATCCCTCGATTTCTCTGCAGCACACGAGGATCCTGGTCTTTGACACGATCTGGACCCTAAAAAGACCTAAAAAGGCATAGACCCTGAAACCATCCTAAGACATCCTAAATCTCTTTGTTTTGGGGTCCCCCTCCTGGCTTTTGCAAGCTGTTGCCCTGAAGCCGGGTGGGACTCTCCGCGACCCCGCGCCTGAACCCCGCGCAGCGCCGCATCGCCCCAGCGGCAGATGGGCGCCTTGGAGTCAAAGTGACCAGCGGACTTAACACCGATCACTGCCGGGTCACCACCCGTAGCAGCAAGAAGCTAGTAGGTTGGAGGCCATCGCTAGTAGGTTGGAGGCCATTGCTACTACGTAGTAGCAAGAAGCTACTAGTAGCAAAGCCCTCCCCTCTTCATGATTTTCCTTGACACCAGAACCTATGAAACTCGGCGTCCAAAAGATTGTTTTACTTCTCTCATATTAGCTCTTCTCATTGTCAGGCGGGAGCCTGCCTGTGAGATATCACATATCACCAAACTCTAGCTTAGCTTCCGGATCGAAAGCCGAAAGCAACAGCTCCGAAGGGAGAAAACTGCACGGCCACACAGGACTGTGGCAGCATTGTTGAAGTCTTCTTCGAACGAAATGAGCAGCAACGACTAAGAACTGTCCTTGTCAACAGACTGGGGGTGGAGTGTTGCAATTTCATGGGATCAAAGGATTGGAACCACATTCACGCCAACAATGAGATAACTCCTTGCAACCAAACAAGTGTTCGCCGAATGTGTATGCTCAAAACATCTCAAAACACTGACCAAGAAAAATAGATGCTGTCAATCTCAACCATCTACCACAAAATCGCACCAAAACCGAACTAAACGTCGTTCCGGAAACGAGCCAAACCTCCGTATTGGCCGCCTCGCGTCCGAAGTCCAAGGCCCACTGGGCGAAGCGCTGCACGGCTCCGTCCCTGGCGCGCAGGATGAATGTGTCATGCCCTGTTTGTGAAATCACGGCTAGAAGCGATTAGGTTGGAGGCCATCGCTAGGTTGGAGGCCATTACTACTAGTAACGAACAAGATCCATGTAGATTTCACGAACTGTCTAGAAACTGTCCAGACTCTAGACAGTTCTTCTTTAAGTCTGCTTTTTGTCCGGTGAGTGTACGCCGGACTAAATCTGGCGACAGCCTACGAAAAGGCAAACCCCCAAAAAAGGGAGACCAAAAACACATCACTGGGCTTCCATGTCGCTTGGACGGATTGATTGGCGCCGAGAGGAACACCAAGAATAGCATTCTCCTCATCCTGTAAGAACATCATCCATCAAATATTTTTGAGGCACATGTCACAAACAATACTTCTGTTAGGAACAAGAAGCTACTAAGGGCTGCTGGCATCGCTTCTAGGTACTACTAGGAGCAAGTAGCTACTAGGAACAAGAAGCTACTAGGGGTTTGATATTGACATTGACTTGATGTCTTTTCTGCTTCTCCAAGACGTGGCGATTGTGTCCAGTGCTAGAACCCTCCATGGCTTCATGGGTCCCTCGACTGAAACACACAAAACAAGCGAAAGCCCGTGGCAGCGCCGCGTGCGCAAGGGAACCGGAAGGGAGCGTTTTCTAGGATCTTGCTGTGGGTTTGTAGTGTGGATGTATTGAACACTATGGACTGAAAGAAGGGTTGAAAAAGAATTCAGCGCCCTCCTCGATCCCGCGTTCACATGCAATATCTACATCGATAGTCAAAAACTGACAACATCATGCTCTTCAATGCACTTAAGATATCCAAAAATCACTTCAAACTATCTACCTCTTGGTAGGTTTGGCACCCTCATCGCCCAACCTGCTTCACCATCCCCGAAGATGAACCGCGCCGGATGCTTCCGTCCGGAAGAAGGCCAGCCGCGTCCCATCGTGCCGTTCTTCCGTCGGTGCCTAAAAGGGGCGATCTCCAGCACCAGCACGCGCGAACTCAGGTCGATCGTGCCTCAGCTTTCCCGGGGTACCGAGTCGAGGCTGGCTGCTCAGCTAGGGTTCTCGAAAGGAAGGAAATCAGCCAAACAAACACAGCATTCTTGGGCCATTCTTCCTTTGGCCCCGGCTGACACATTCTTGCGATGGATGATGACGACTGTCCAGGTTTTAATTTGAAGGAAACTGAAACATTTGCCCTTCCAGTCCAGGTCAACAATAAATCCCAGAAGATTTCTCATGTCCATTGGGAGCTTCCCAATTCCGATCCATCCTGTGCTTCACAACAGGCGAGTCTGCACAAAACCCAACGCCCGGAATGGTGGGGTGGAAGAGCTCTCAGAGACGGACTGTCTTGGAAATTCTCGTCAGGCGCGGCGGCCCTGACATCACTTGGGTGAGTTTCAGAGCAAGATGCTACTGGTTACAGCAAAAGTAAGCAAGGTCGATGAACAACATGTTCTAATTAAAACATAATTTAAAGTGCCAAACATCGAGCAGTACCGATGATGTCAGGCTCCAACAAACGTTTTTTCTTGTGGAGCAGCAATGGCAAAATAATGGTTTTGAACCATACTGACTGCAAGTACGAATTTCACCATCACACTGCAGACTCGTGTGTACGTATGCGTGTGGTATATGTTCAGAAAAAATCCAACGTGCCCCTATATAATATTTAGAGTTATTTTTTTTACTATGATTCATTACAGTGATTGCTTTGTTTCCCGCCCCATTTGGTCCGTCAAGACCATCCAAAGACGTGTGCGAGACATCGCCAGAGCCGATCCGCCGCACCTCTCGCCAGAGCCGAAGAGCAAGGCCAAAGCCCTCAGCGCCCGAGGCGCCGGTCGCGGGGCGTTGTTCGGCAAGTAGCCCAGATGTGCGCCTGGGCGCTGTGCCAACGGGCCCCGAATCCGGATCCAACGATGCTGGCGTGGATAGATTAAGTTAGGTTGCTAGGTGTTGAGGATCTATACAAAACAAAGGTGTGTGTGTGTGTGGTCAGCCTTCTGCTGAGGTCCAATGCAAACGTGGTTCGTAGCATGCTGATCAGCAAACCTGTCATGCATAACCCAACCCCGGCCAGCCTGCTGTAGAGGTCTCACGTACCAAATCCCGGTCGAAGGGGATCGGGAAGTTGACATCTGTGTCGATCCACATGAGCCATTCCTGGGGGGGATTCTAGACTCACACCAGAACTGCTGTAGCCCCACAATGAGCGAACTTAGGAGGACTCTGGGCAAACAAACCTAGACCCCCTGATGGCCCGCAAGCTTTAAGCAAAACGTGCACAAGAATAGAATTTAAATTCATTTTTCTGAGCACACGCGCAACGGTAAATTTCCCAAAGCGAACAAACTGCGAACTTCCACACCAGCCCACGTGAGTCACAAACTCAAACATCATAGCGCGATCGGCAAGTTGACTTTAAAACTATGTGTCGGCGCAATCTCAAATGCACATGGTACAGCCACACAGCCACGCAAGCAAAAAGTAAAAACGCACAGAAATGTCAACAAATGCTATTCGCACGGCCGCATCACAAGAAACTTTCGTTTGAGACATCGCCAAAGCGCATGGCGCAGCGAGTGCAGCAATGTAGTAGTAGCAGTGTTTCCCAAGCAGCCCCAACCGCACATGGCCCAGCCACACAACCACACAAGCAAAATATACAAACACACAGAGATGTCAACAACGCTATAGGCACGGGCACGGCCGCATCAAAAAACATGTCCTGCCTGACGTCGCCAAGCAACCCAGCGCGCACAAAAATGCGCACTTCACCTCGCGCTTCGGCACTGAACACGCCAGATCCTGAGAGAGAGTTCCGCCAGCGCCGGCAAGATTTGCATTTCTCTACAAGTTTGGGCACTCGGCCTTCCGGGTCCTACAAGCGGGTCGCGCAAGCATGGTCAAAAATAGCACTCCTTTTACGTTTGGGCACTGGACACGTATTCGCGAATTCAACTCGCCTCTCAAGCCGGAGCGTCGGCGGCTCCAAAGGAAGCGGCACCCCAGCGGAAACGCCAAGGAGGGCTTCCAAGAAAGCCGCGTCAAAGGTGATGGTCCTCATCAACAACAAATCCAAAAAAAAAGAGCACTTGCAAACGCTTTCTATCACATACTATAAAACCAAATGGTTGAGAGCCACGCGGAGCTGCGGCGGTGTTGCCGTTGAGGGCGTGGGCCAGCCGGCTGCGCTCCTGCAAGGCAGATTTGACAGAAACGAATCCAACTAATAGGGGCGCTGCTTCTAAACCTGTCCTCGTTGGACCGGAAGTTTGGAAGGTAGGAATAGACGCGCAGACCACTGGGCGCCAAACGTTTCCACCGGAAGTCCAGGCGCCCAAACTTGGTGGCCGCTGCACAAAGTTTGGTTCCGTCGACCCTGCAACAAAACGAAAAGCTTCAGTCGCAATGGAGGTCGGGTTACCTCCCCAAATCTGCTCTCAAACCCCTCCGAGCGCCGGCGCAAGACTCATGCCTCAAGAAGCACTGGTCGAGATCGATCATCTGCATCCGCTCTGCCAAGTCTAACAGCTTCGAAGTTGCCCCTGCCCCAAAGAAAAATCTCACACAACAATCAATTCTCACCGGTGGATTTCGTCGATCAAAGACGCAAAGGAGAGGGCTCATCAACGAGAGGCTCTGCAACACAAGTTCAAAAATTCTAGTTGGACGTCACGTTGCAATGGCCTCCAACCTACTAGCGATGGCCTCCAAGCTACTAGCGATGGCATCTAAGCTACTAGCGAGTGCCTCCAAGCTACTAGGGATGGCCTCCAACCTAATCTAGTAGCGATGGCCTTACTAGCGATGGCCTCCAAGCTACTATACCCGGTCATCGGCCTTGAGGCGTCCCACCCCCCGGCAAAACACTGTCCTACAGTCACGCACATTTAGATGCACCACAAAAGGAGATCATACGTGGAAACTGCGACGACAAAGTCAATCTGTGTCTCCCCGGCTCTGCCGCAGGGTCGGGTTCGGGGGTTCGGTGACCTGAGGATCCATGCAGCGGCACCCAAGGCCAAGGCGTGGAGATCGATTACTGAAATCTAAATCTGCTCCGCCAAGCAAGGTCATCCAGCAGAAAAGACAAAAGCACAATGCTTCACACCATGCTCACATTGTGACGCGAACCAACTCTTTGAGGCGGCCTGAGAATGCAAACGCTTGACATTTGGCACCTTGTCACACTCAGCACACCATCTCCCCCCCCCTCAGGGCCACACCGCTGGGGCTGCTCTTCGCGAGACCATGGCGGCAGTGCCGCCGCATAATCCGTATGTCTGGCGCCTGACAAAGCCGAACGTCAAACACAACTTGGCCGGTTCTCGCTAGAGGCCCGGGCCGTTCTGACGGTCGTCGATTGCGGCGTCATGGCTGACAAGTTGAAGGGCGTTGAAAATTGTTCGTGTCTGTGGCGCCCGACCGCTTCGAAGCCACCTGCCCGCTTCGAAGCCAGTGTTGGGAGGGAAGGACCACATGGTCCATGGCCGGTCCTGCCAAAAGGATTCGATAAACAGAAGCCAATCAAAACAACCCTCAAAACCGGCAACACCAACTCCTGACGTCGCCCTCTCTTCTTTACACATCTTGCCGGCTTGGTGGCATTCTTGCGCGCCTGGCACAACCAAGCTTTGGATTGGTACAAACAAAATTGCCTCCTAGCACCTGCCTCGTAGAACGCAGTGTGCGCCGACGTTGGGTTCACCTGGATTGAGACGAAACTGCAAGCAACTGAACAACATGTGCCCAACTGCTTTTGACTGAGGCTGCAACGCGTGCCCATTGCTTCTTGGCCCTCTTCTTGGAAATCTGTCAAGTTCCTGGGACCTTCCGCAAGCAAGCCAAAATCTATATGACAAACTCAATACATCAACTAGCAAACACACATGTGCCTCGACGCCGGGCTGTAGCCAATCCAACGTGCGACTCTCCTCCCGAAACAATTGTAAATTTTATCGCCCAGCTCTGTGTCGGTGGGCGCGTCCTTACAAAAATAATTAAAGGCGGCCCCATTTGCAAGTTCATTGACACAATCGATTTTGGCCAACTCCTGCCATCAAACGAATGACTGACCTACCCAACCTGTCGTTTTTCGACCAGCAAACCACTCCTCCAGCGTCCACATCAAATGACCAAGTCATGCGATACTTTCAACGCTCTTTTCTGTGTTTTCTGTTTTCTTGCTTCTGCAGCACAAGCATGTTCCCAAAAAAAGTTTTTATCTTTGCGCCTTGGCTCGGCGTGTAGTTTTCTGGTTTCAACGTCAACGCTTCTCAAAAAATTGGCAGCAAAGTTTTTTTATTTCAATCTCGCCTGAACCAAGACACAATTTGGTTTCAGGAAAAAACCCGACACCTACACCAGCACAACCAAAAGCCCAATCTAGAAAAGTGCTTTTATTCTTTCTAGCTTGTCTGTCCGGCCTGCCATTCAAAATCCACGGCCTTGGAATCTTTTCTGCTTTTGTGTTTGAAATAGGGGCTTGTGACAAAGAACTTCTTCTATAGCGACAATCACGAACAAAGCCCAACCCCAAAAAGTACTTTAAAAGTACTTTTGTGCCAGCTTGTGGCTTCGCATTCTCATTCTGACACTGAAGCTTGAGAACCGGCGCTTTGTCGTATCATTTGCAGGCGTTTTGCCAAACAAACTTTTTCCGATTTCGTTTTTGGTTCGCAATCACTACGGCTTGGTCTCAGGCGGCAATCCTTTATTTTTGGCCGCGCGGCCCTCGATCGCCACAACGGCAATCATCACAAACACAAAGCCCAACCCCAAAAAGTACGGGGACGCCGTGAATTGTAAGGTACATTTTACTATGTGGAGGGCCTCAAAAAAAGTAATTGCAGTAACTTTGAGGTGGCCTCAAAAAAATAACTTACAGTACAATTTTGAGACCTCATGGGTGGTTTGCTGGGAAATGATCTCGAATCTCGAACATGTAAATTACTTTTTTGAGTCACGGTGGGGCACTTACATATTTTGAGCCCCCTGAGTCTGTGTTTGTCTGATTTTGTCTTGCAGTCTCAGGATGCAGGCAAAAGGTGAGATTTGCAGACGTGACGTCAAAAGTTGTATCTTACAATTAGTCCACGCATCCAAACCCTCAGATTTTGCAGGGGATATCACAAATTGTAATTTGCATTTTTGCCACATGCCCAACTTACAAGGAACTGGGGTGTCCCCCTGAGTGAATTACATTATTGCATACTGAAAATCACACACTTCGTGGAAGCAGGGGGCAAGCAACGAGGGGATCAAACAGCATTGAATATCCTTGTTCTCCTGCACAATAGAACAGGCAGCTGTGCGCGATTTCCAATGACCTCTCTTTTGTTGTGTGGCATGTGGATGATCCTCTGTTGTGTTTGGGTTTCGCTTTGTTGCCTTCCTTTTGGGTCTTGGGAGGGAACATGTATGTTCCTGTTTCTTGGCAGTTTGTGGCTGCAGTTTGCTCTGGGTGTGTTTCCTGTTCTTCTTTGTTGCTGATGACTCTGACCAACTGCTGTTCCAAACTGCTGCTCACCCCCCAGCCCTTCGATCTGCCGACGCACTGTAGGGGGGTGGTAAAATGTAATAAGCACGTACCAGGCAACACGTTACATGTTTGTGGGACCCCGCCCTCGCCCCTTACCCGCTTCGATGATGCCTATAGGGGGTGGTAAATTACATTTTTAGACCCCCTAGGGGCCCACACTAAAATGTAACTTACTTTTTTGAGGTCCCCCCTCCCGGAAGTAGCTTAAGGGGGTAGATCTTTTGTGCCAGCTTGGGGCTTCGCATTCTCACTCTGAAGCTGAAGCTTGAGAACCGGCGCTTTGTCGTTTCATTTGCAGGCGTTTTCTTCGCTACGCGCTTGGGCACGCGACACGCCGGATCCTGCAAGAGGGCTCGCCCGGAACCGACAAAGTTTGCACTTCGTTTAGACACTCGACACGCCGGGTCCTGCGAGAGGGCTCGCAGCCGACGAAGAGAATTCGCACTTCGCTACACGCTTGGGCAGTCGACAGGCCGGATCTTGCGAGAGGGTTGCTTCTCGTGTTCTCTCGATTGGTCTGCCCCGGCTTTGAAGATTGCAATTGAAAGATTCGAGATTGGTCAAGTCTCTTGCATGTGCTAAAACTTGGTCAAGTCTCTTGCAGCTGCTAAAGCTTTGT